TAGACATATATCCATGTTTGTAAATAAGTATGTCTTTCAGATCTAAATTCCACAAATGAGCCAAAACATGTGATAAAGATCATCCGCATAATGATCTTCAGTTCCATCCATTTTCCTGCAAGTGACATTTCATTTTTCTTTATGGATGAATAATATTCCATGATATATATGTACCCTATCTCCTTAGTCCATTTATCAGTATCCATCAGTTGTCAGATACCTCAGCTGATTCTACCATTTGGTTCTTTTGAACAAAGCTACAATAATGGATGAGTATGCAGGGGGTTTTGGGGTTTTTTTGTAATTTTTAAAAATTTTTTATTGTAAAGATGCTATACAGAGGGTTACAGTTACATGAGTAAGGTAATGAGTACACTTCCTATTGAGCATTGTTACCCCCTCCATTGTTTTCCCTACCATCCCTTCCCTCCCTACCTTCCCCGAGGTTCTTTTTTTTTTATTGTGATTAAGTGATTACATAATTTCCCAAATTTCACAGTATTGTGGAATAATGATCCTCACTTAGAATCACAAGTTCATTCTAACTTTCCTGGAGCAAATTGTCTATCACAGTCTATAACATATAACGGTGTTCACATGTTATACACCATACATGTGATCAGCAGCATGGGGATATTTAGTAGTGGTTCGACCAGATGAGTGGGAGTTCTTTGTTTCTTGAGTCCTGTTAGTTTTGTCATATCACCTAACATTTTGGATTTAGCATCCACTTATCAGGGAGACCATGTACCATTTGTCTCTTTGCTCTTGGCTTACCTCCTCAACATGATTTCTTCTAGCTCCATCCATTTCCCTGCAAATGCCATTATTTTGTCATTTCTAGTAGCTGCATAATATTCCATTGTGTATAGATACCACAATTTTTGGATCCATTCATCTGTGGTGGGGCATCTGGGTTGTTTCCATATCCTAGTTATTGTAAACAGTGCTGCAATAAACATGGAGGTGCACGTGTCCTTGTATATTGGTTCCTGTTGTTCAGGGTAGATGCCTAGAAGTGGTATGACTGGGTCGTAAGGGAGGTCAATCTTTAGCTTTCTAAGGACCCTCCAGACTGCTTTCCAAAGTGGTTGTATAAGTGTACATTCCCACCAGCAGTGTAATAGGGTTCCTCTTTCTCCACATCCCCTCCAGCATTTGTCGTTGGCTGATTTGTGGATGTGGGACATTCTGTCTGGGGTAAGGTGGTATCTCAGGGTTGGAGTTCCTGTATATACTGGATGTTAACCCCTTGTCTGATATATTGCTGGTAAATATTTTTTCCCAATTAGTTGGTTGTCTTTCTAGCTTGGTTGCGATAGATTTAGCTGTGCAGAAGCTTTTTATTTTAAGGTAGTCCCATTTGTCGAGTCTCTCTCCAATTTGTTGTGACCCTGGGACTCTGTTCAGGAAGTTCCTTCCTGTGCCTATTAGTTCAAGTGTCTCTCCTACTCTGTCCTGCAATAGTTTCAGAGATTCAGGTTTAATGTTAAGGTCTTTAATCCATTTTGAGTTGATGTTGGTGCATGGTGATAGGCTGGGGTCCACTTTTAGTAGGGTTTTTGTTTTTGTGCATTTTTTGGTACCAGTCTTGGGGCTTGAACTCAGGGCCTGGGTGCTGCTGTCCCTGAGCTTTTATGCACAAGATTGTGCACTACTTGAGCCACAACTCCACTTCCAGCTTGAAGTCTGGGCCTGGGCGCTGTCAAGGTGAGCACTCTACCACTTGAACCACAGCACCACTTCTGGTTTTCTGGTGGTTAATTGGAGATAAGAGTCTCACAGACTTTACTGCCCGGGCTGGCTTTGAGCTGCGATCCTGAGATCTCAGCCTCCTGAGTAGCTAGGATTACAGGCGTGAGCCACTGGCACTGGGCTGCACTTCCAGCTTTTTGATGGTTAATTGGAAATAAGAGTCATATAGATTTTCCTGCCCAGGCTGGCTTTGAACTGCAATCCTCAGATCTCAGCCTCCTGAGTAGTTAGGATTATAGGCATGACCCACTAGTGCCCCAGCTATATTGTTCTTGTATATTAATTTATAGTCCTTTGGATAAATTACTGGAAATAGTATGACAGGATCATAAGGTAGATCTATTTTTTGAGCAACTTCTGTACTGATTTCCATAGTGAGATTAATGGGGAAGGGGTTCTTTTTTTTTTTTTTTTTGTACTATGGCTTGAACTCAGGGCTTTGTGCTTGCTAAACAGGAACTTTACCACTTGAGCCATACTCACAGCCTTGACTTATCTTGAGACTTAGAGGAATCCATGAGACACAAAAGGCTGAAAGGTTCAACATCAAAGAAGGTCTGTGAAGGCAAAACAGGAATTCAGAAGCCTGAAGGAAGTGACTGATGGTCTGGGCAGGTGACCTGGTCTGGAGATTGAAGGGCTCTGGTGGTGACTAGCTCAAGACTAGGGAAGGGCAGAGGAATGTGAGCCCGACCGGAGGCATGGCATCACTATACTCCCGTGTCCTGCCCTCCCTCAGTCCCTCCTCCACTTAGGGGAGAGGTCACATGATGTATCTGCTTCAAATACCCTAGGCTGCTGGGTTAAGGTGAAAGGGGAGCTGAGGACTGTGGGAGGAAGTGGGCCTTCACTTCCATGGCCTCCTTCTTACTGGGGGAAGCTTGGGCCACTCTGAAGCTATAGGTTTTCAGAGGGAGCTGCAGATTTTTCCTGAGAGCATCTTTGAGGTGGACACAGTTCTGAGGCATTGGGAGGAACTTTTGTAGGGGGTCTATAGCCTGGGTGGACAATCTTCCACAACATTGCCCGTGGTCCTGAGGAAGCTTCATACAGAGTGCAGGCGGGGGGCAGACTGTCCCCAGCTTCTCAGCAGTGCTCAGCACAGACCTGTAGATGGACGGATGGGTGAGTGAGCGAGCAAGTGAGTGAGTGAATGGACAAATGAATGAATGAGTAGGTGAGTTCAAGTGTTGTCAAGTGAATGCATGCTCTGGTGATCCTGGGAGCTCACAGGGCCTTGGAATTCTCAGTGTTTGGTGGGTGAGTGGTTCTCAATCAGTGTTTAATTGGCAGTGGGCAAGTGTGGAATGAGACTCAGAGGTTTTCTGAGCCCACAGAGTGGCCAGAAGTCCTAAATAAGTAAACAGGGTTATTTCCCACAGTTGTCTTACAGGATGATGAAGTGCTATACTTTCCCTTAGAGAGCTCAGAATCTTATCCCTTTCATTTTTCTTTAATTTTGGCTCTGCAGCCATTAGCTGGAGGCTTCTTTCCATTCCCCTGACCCATGGCTGGGAGAGAGGAGGGGCAGCATTGGTGCCATTCTTGTGGGAAGGACACAAATAGCTACTCTTATTCTCATTCTAAGAACTGGAGAGCTCAGATTCTTCTAGTAATCCAAGGTTCAAGCCAGAACATTCCTCTCCTTCTCCCTCCTTCCTTTCCCTCCGTCTTTACTAAAATGGATTTTGAACTCCTGGGGCCCTCCTGCATCTGTTCAGTTCCTGGCATGTCACCAGCTCCGAATATCACAGTACAGAGGCCATACCATGTCACCTCTGAGCACACACGCCCTAAGCACCTGTGTGGGGGATGGGGTGAGGCCTGAGGACACCAGGAGAGTTTCCCTGGGACTGGAGGTCACCTGAAAAGATGATAATAGCTCAGTACAGTGGAGAGAAGAGCGCTCAAACTGCACCATTCCTATCCACTGAGGCTCTGATGAGGATCCCAGTGTCACCCCCACACACAACAGACCCCTATCCTGCAGGTCCAGTTGCAATGTAGGGATTATCCCTTTAAGAGCAGGCATGCGATAGAATTCTCATTCTTGGGATCTGTGAGTGGACAATTCTCACCCTTCTTCCTGCTGGGTTTTTTGTTTCGTTTTAGGCTTGGAGCCCTGGTCTAGGACAGCCCATGGGATGGAAGGGTTGGGGTTAGTGTGCACTCACACGCTGTCTCAAGTAGTAAGATGTCAGAATGCATCCATCCACCCAGTCATCTGTCATTCTCCAGCCTCTCACCAGGGACTCAGCGAGCACAAGTTGGTGTGTGGCTGAGAAGCAGGTGGCAGAGCCGTGGCGTCTGTCATCCATCACTTCCCGGCACTTAGCATCTGTGGGCCTCCGGGGATTAGACAGGAGGCCACTGAAGCAAGTGAACCAAAGTCCTGGGATGTGCTGGGAGGTTTGGCTTAGTGGTAGAGCAAGTGTGAGGTCCTGAGTTCAAACCCCAGTACCTGGGGGGGGAGAGGGAGAGGAAGTTGTAGAGAAGTTGAGCACTGTGCATTGAGTCCAGGAGGATCAGCTATGAGCTTGTGACAGCTTACTTGTCCTGAAAGGCAGTTTCCTATGTAGCAGCCTGTTCAAATCTGGGGTTTTACCTATGTGCCTAGCCCAGTACCAGGTCCAAGTGCATGTGTAGGAGCCTGTAGGGTGCTAGGGGTGTCCACTGTACTTTCTAATCCCAAGGCTTTTCATCTTGGTGGGGGGAGGGACTAGTGCTCTCTGTAGTCCTCCTTCCTCAAACCTAGAAGATTTAGAATGACTTAGAATAACTTGGTTGAATCTGGACCTTACAATTTATTAGCTCTCATCTTGGATACTTGGTTTGGGGGGTATGGGTGTGTACATGTGCACACTCATACACACATATGCCAATCCTGATGCTTGAACTCAGGCCTGGGTACTGTCCATTGTGCTTAAGGCTAGTGCTCTACCACTTGAGTCACAGCTCTACTTCCAGCTTTTTGGTAGTTAATTGGAAATAAGGATCTCGGGGACTTTCCTACCCAGAGTTGACTTCGAATCATGATCCTCAGATCTCAGCCTCCTGTGTAGCCAGGATTACAGGTATGAGCCACCTGTGCCCCACTTGGACACTTTTCAGTCTCTTCAGACTCCATTTCCTCATCTGTATATTAGCTAGGGTGAAATGTAAATGAGAGAATGCGTTAGTTTCCTGCCACTGCTTGGTAGAACTCTCCCATATGTGGCCCCCTCTGATACTGACCTTTGTCTCAGGTGACAGGAACACCCTCAAAAGGCTTTGATGAGAAGGCATACCTGTCTGCTAAGCAGCTGAAGCCTGGAGAGGATCCTTACAGGCAGCATGCCTTCAACCAGCTGGAAAGTGACAAGCTGAGCCCAGACCGGCCTATCCGGGACACCCGTCATTACAGGTATGGCTGCCCCTGTGCCCATGATAAGGGAAAGCCAAGACAAGGTGAAACGTGCTTAGTTTGTTCTCTTTCACGCATGTGTATTTTCAGAAAGGAGTGTAGTGAGTTAACATTCAGAGTCACACTCTGTCCCCCTCAGTGGCTTTCAGTCACCCACCTGCTTCCTCTTGGCCTACTCAGAGCTGTCCAAGGCCAGTGAATCCCCCAGCGGGGGCCAAGGAAGCCCCTCCGCTCAGCCTGGCATCACAGCAAGAATGGCCTGCCAGGGGACCACAAAGAAGTCTGAGGGGATGAGTGGACTGGGCAGCAGCAGAGGGCCCTCCACCTGCCCAGTGCAAAAAGTAAAGCATGGTGACACCCTATCCTCACTTCTTTCCTTTCTTTCCCCCTGCCACGTTGTCCCTCCTCAGTCACTGCCAGAAATGCCTCCCTGTCTTGTTCTTAGTTCTCCCATGTGGGAGGGCTCCCATGCTGGAGCCCTTTCTAATAGTCTCAGCTGTGACGCATCTCAGTGTGAGTGGCTGGCCTTGGGCAAGTCCTTGTGTGTCCTGTCTAGAGTATGAGTGGACACCTCCTGTCTCCCTCCTTCCTGCCATCGCCTGTGGGGACAATCTCCTTATGCTGAAGCAGCCCTGTCCCTATGTCCAGCCTCTTCTACCCTGCAGCCAGCACTTCGTGTTCCTGCCATCTTCCCCTTCCTTGTTTTCACGCATGCTGTTGCCTCTGTCTGAACATTCCCTCACCCCTGCAGCCACCTTCAAGACTTGGCTCCAGTCCTCTCCTCCCAGGAAGGCTCCTTGCCCTCCTCTGCACTTTATACAGACATCTATCTAGTGGAGCCTCATCCTCGGTTCTACCCATCTGTGACTTTGAGTAACAAACAGGAGCTGCTTCAGACCCAGCCGCCAACACACAGCTGGGCTGGGCCTCTATCCATCTGGTCCTGGTTTGAGGGTAGGCGAGAATGACTTATGGTTTCTGCTAGACTCCACACTGTAGGCTGCCTCCTGGTCCTGTCCTCCATCTAGGGACCCCTTACCCCTTTCTCAAGGGGTGCAAAGGGTGGCTAGCCACAGAAGACAAATTAACTGGGATCATGGTGGGGCGGGGATCACCAACCCAAATTCAAAGCCGGGTCTGGAACAAACCCTTTCTGAGACTCCTAGCTCCTGGGAGTTGGGGATCCCCATCTTTATAGATCTAAAACAGGGGCAGGTGGGTGTGGGAAAAGTTCAAGTCCATACTCCAAATGGGCACAGGAGAGGTTTGCCCTCTTAGGGTGTAATAAGCACTACTGGACAGTTTTCTCTAAGACAAGGACAGGTTGCTGGGGCCCTGGAGGTTGGTGTTGCCAGTCTGGGTGCCAAGTCCTTTCTCAGCCTGTTAATTAAGTTCGTTCTACCCAACCCTCCAACGCCCCCCCCCCAACAGGCTTTTGGCAAAGGCACTTGGAAAGCATGGCAGAAGGAGAATGCCCCTCCTCCACCAATGCCCTATATCCTTCTCCAGAAATATTTGAAAGCTTCTCAGGCTGTCTCCCTTGGGGGTCTCAGGCTAGCGGGACTCCCGCCTGCCTGACCCAGCTGCTCTGCAGGGCAGGAAATAGGCCTGGGAATTCAGGCTGTGAGCTGCTGTCAGTGGAAAGGATGCTGTAATGAAAAAATAGCCACTGCTGGAATAGTCAGGGAGCAGTTGTAATAAAGATCACTTATGAAAACCAGCGGAGGCGGCTGCCTTCCAGGAGCCCAAATAAATGCCTTCACAGAAACAACAGAACAACAGAGGTAGGCAGGCAGGCAGGCGGGCAGGCGGGCAGGCGGGCAGGCAGGCAGACAGGCAGGAATAGTGTATTCTAATTCTCTTTCCTGAGGATGGGGAGCCCAGGGTTGCTGGGAAGGGAGCAAGATGGCAAGAAATACCCTGGCATCTTCTCACAGAGCCTGGTTTCCTCAGGGCTGCCTCTGCCTGGTGTCTGCAGCACAGTGTTCCTGCCCCAGAGACATGAGGAAGCCCATGGCAGGCAAGGTAGAGGCAGTTCTTCCCCAGATCCTGGCAAATGTCCTGAGCTGGGACACAGGAAGAATGAAGCCTCAAGAGCATCAGAGGCAGAAACAGGGAGTCCCACTCCCCCATTTTGTCTCACTGGCCTTCCCCCATTGGCAAGGAGTTCTCCTTGGCTCTGGGTGGTATACTGGAGCCTGGCTCAGAGCCTGTATTCAGGAGATAGTTGAAAGTGGGCAGTGGCTATGGGGTTCTAGCTCTTCTAGGTCTTTGGTAAAGATCTTCTCTAGGTCCCTGGCACCTGTGAAGGACCCCCAATCTGCTGCTTCCCTTCTAGGATGACCGATGTAGGATGGAACATGGGTGTTAGGCTGTGTCCTGGCTCTGGGCATGCTCTTCTGCCTCACAGAACTGTTCTAGGGGGCGGCAGACCAAACAAAACAAAGTATGGAGTCTTCCTGGGTGTGCTCCCTCCCCCAATGGCTGGCCTCTGACCCCCCCTCCCCTGCTCCCCTTCCCCCCCATTTCCTTCTCAGTTGTCCATCTGTGTCCTATTCCCTGGACTTACCGGCCACCAGTGTCATCATCACCTTCCACAATGAGGCTCGTTCTACCCTCCTGCGCACAGTGAAGAGGTAAGCCCAGCCTTGGGACCTTGATTTGATGGTACTTCTTCCCTCCCCTCCCCCCTAGGCCTGGGGTAGTCTGCAGGATCACTTTCTGGGAAGGACATTGAGACTGGGGGCTGTGGCCATTGGGAAGATGTGAGCCTGGGGAGGATGAGGCCTGTCCTTCTTGAAGCTGGGGCTGGTGAATCAGGGTCAAAAAGATGCCAGAAGTCTACAGTTGTCAAGCTCAGGATGAGGGCAGAAATGCAGGGGTCAGGAGCAAAGGGAGCCAGGGACAAATACGAGGCAAATCAGAAGAGCCCTTTCTGTCCTCCTCTAAACTTGGTCGAACCATTCACTTCCACTCCTTTGCTTCAGAAAACTTTGACAAAGATAAGATTCAGATTGGAGCCTGGCGCTGGGGCTCAAGCTTGAAATCCTAGCTACTCGGGAAGATGAGATGTGAGCATTGTGGTTTGAAACCATCAGGGATGGGAAAGCCTGTGAGATTCTTATCTCCAATTAACCACCAGAAACACTGGAAGTGTTTGCCTCAGCAAAAAAAAAAAAAATCTTGAGAACAGTGCTCAGCCCTGAGTTCAAACTCCACAATTGACAAAAAAAAAAAGCTTCAGATAGGAGTAGATGCCAAGTAACAGTGATATTCCATGGACTAAAGAAGCTCAGATGTCCCTTTCCTAGAGAGAGCAGGAAGAGGAGGAAAAGGAAGAGCAGAAGAAGAATCCCTTGAGAACATCCCTCTATCCCTCTTGACCTCTGGGCCAGCAGAATCCTCACCTTCCACCCTTGTAGGCAGCTTCAGTCCAGCCGGCCTGTCCCTCAGCAGTTTTGTATCATATTTAGGCAGGTTGAGTAGCCAGAACTTCTGCCCTGGCAACTCACCTAGGGCATCTTTATGCTCTGGGGTTGGTCTCACATGCCTGAAGGTCTGTGTGCAGCACCAGCTGGGTCTTTAGGCTCTTCCCAGGGCGTTTCAACAGTTGCCCATGTCTTATGGACTTGCTTTGGTTGGGGTGGTGCATGGGGGTAAGTAGGAGATGTCCCTTCAATCTGGGCTCCTTTTCTGTCCCCACTGCCGCTCCAGTGTCCTGAACCGAACTCCTGCCAACTTGATCCATGAGATCATTTTAGTGGATGACTTCAGTTCAGATCGTAAGTGTTCACCTTCTTTTATTGCACCCCTTCCTGCCTACCCCGCCCTGTTTTCCCAGAACACTGAGACAAGCTGTCTTCAGACCATTTTAGCCATTACACACTAGTCTCTCTGCCAACAACTAGGGGTCTCTGAGCCTTTCTAGAACCCCCCACCCCCCAGCCCTGGAACTAAAGAAGGGGAGATTTGCTTTGAACTCAATATCAGTGACATGATATTTCTTAGAAATGGAAACAAAATGGACAGAATCTTTTTTCTTTCTTTCTTCCTTTCTTTTTTTTTTTTTGCCAATACTGGAGGGGTTTGAACCCAGGGCCTAGGCACTGTCCCTGAGCTTCTTTTGCTGAAGGCTAGCTAGCACTCTACCACTTGAGCCACAGTGCCACTTCTGGCTTTTTCTGTTTATGTGATACTGAGGAATCGAACCCAGAGCTTCATGCATGCTGGGCACTCTGCCACTAAGCCACCGTTCCTAGCCCCCAGTATCCTTCTTAATTACAACTTGACATAGGCAAGAAAAATACCTCTTCTAAGTTAGCTCAATGAGAATTGGAGAACAAACCATTGCTGTTGCTCTCTGGCACCCTCTGTGGTGGGATTGGGTAATATAGAAACAGACATTTTCTTAGTCTGAGTGGGAGCAGGGCAGCCCTTTGACTGGTAATGATGACCATAGCCTTGCCTCCTCCCCCATCCCAGCCCTTTCCCTGGCCTGATATGGATCAACTCCTGGGGACTTCCATGGCTGCCAGACCACTTTTGGTCTGATGCCCACATCTGAATGAACTTGCCTTCCTTCCCTCCACCCCCAGCTGAAGACTGCCTGCTCCTGACCAGGATCCCCAAGGTCAAGTGCCTGCGTAATGACCGGAGGGAAGGTGAGTGCTTAGACCCTGGGTCCCACTGTGGACCTGTCTTGGAGTGATCCTCTCATCTTCCCCCTCCCTTTGGACACTATGCTGCCTTCCTGATGACAGGGACCGTGGTCTGCAGAAGTTCCTCTCTCTGTCATAGCTCAGCCTCTTCCCAGTGCACTGTAGACATATTGCTTTACCTCTGCCTGCCTTTGTCATTTGTTCTGAGAACTGGGTTGGGAACCGCTCCCGTTTGGCCTTACCAGGTTAGTATAAGATTCAGTGAAGTGGCTATGTAGCAAGGCTTTGAGAAAACCAAAGGGAAGGTGTGACCTCATTTCCAGTTGAGGGGTGGTTTAGAACATCAACTATGTCATAACATTGTGCACACCCTGTAAGGGACACAAGAAAAGCCCTTAGAGGCCTTGCTATGTATCCAAAGGGTCAGAAACTATCACCGTCACAGGCAGGTTTTTATAAAGATGGAGGAGAGGGTATGGGGGTGAGCAAAGAGGGCTTCTGAGCAGATGTGGGTCTCAATGCAGGTATAGGGTGTTTCGTGAGATAGGTAAAGGAGAACAGTGGATAGAAGCCAGATCCAGGGACTCTGCAATCAAAGGCAGCAGTGAGCCACAGGCTCATGTGAGTAGCAGTTTGCCACGTGTGTGCAAGATGTTCACATTGCCTCTGTGCTCACACTTAATCCTTATAACAGCCATCATCCCCATTCTCAGGTAGGGAAACAAGGGTTTCAGGAGGGTCTGTCATTTTACAAGGCTAATGGATGAAGAATCTAAGATCTAGCCTCTTAGCCTTCCTCCTCTACTTGCTTGTGTGAGGATCCAGGCCTGGTCAGCCTGGGGAACAAGTAGAGTGAGGTTTGATGAAAGACTTCGGAAGCCAAAAGAAAGCACTTAACCTTGGTAAGACAGCAGGAAGTGAGAGAGGGGTATGAGAGAGATGTTTAAGAAGGATTGGTCAGGCTAAAGGGCCGTGAGGAGATTGGTGGGGAAGACCTTCAAACCATCATGCAGGCAGTAAAGAGAAATGTCTCCTGAGCTGCTAAGTTTGTTTGTGGGGACCATTGAGCCTGAGATACACCGAGTTTTGTCAACTTTGGGTGTAAATTCCTGACTAGTTGCTTTCTAGATGTCTTCTGAGTAGGAGGAGGGTCAGGTGGCCTTTTGGATGGCTGGATGGTTAGACAGAGGCAGAGTGTTGATAGCTAGGTAGATAGAGGTGTGGCCAGTGGAATCTCTTCCAGAAGTGACTTGCATTCAGAGGTGTTAGTGGGAGACACTTCCCTTCCCATAGCTCACAGAACACAGATGGCTGCTTTTCCTAGGATGAGACCAACAGGGCCTCCCTTCAACAGACCAGGCAGGTTCTGCACAGCAAAGCCATTCTCCACCAGTCAGTGCACAATTGGTGAGGTTAGTGGGGGCGGGGGGTATAGAAGAAGAGCAGAAATGAGTATATGAATATATGTAGGTCCCCCAGGCACCAGGTTCATTCCTTGTCTGGTTTGATGTGACAGGCAGGGTTATCATCTCTGAATCTTCTAGATAAGAAAACTGAAGCTCTTCAAGGTGACTAATAAGCTCAAGGTGAGCAAAGGCCTGCTGTTCAAACCCACGCTTCTCTCAGCCTAGAAGATTTAGTCTTTGTCACACCTGGTGGTTTGGCTGTAGGGGACCATGCAAAGGTTCTCAGGGGGCATGGGTTTTGTTTCCTGGCTGTCTCTCAGTACCAAACCACATTTGTCTGCATTTTTTTCTCATTGAACTTGACCCTCCATCTGTGTCAGGTGCACAGAGGGCACAGGGGAATGACCAGAGTCGGGGATAGTGACGGGTGACTGGTAGAGGAAGAAGAGAGGAGGGAGAGAGAGGAAACATGGAAGCACTAAGGGGAGACCAATCACAGGAACTCAGAGCAAACCTCAGCCCTGGATGGGACTGGCCACTGGGACTTTGGGACGCAAATTGGTTCAGTCCTATCCTCTTCCATTGCAGGGTTAATCCGGTCTCGGGTTCGAGGAGCAGACGTGGCAGCGGCTGCTATCCTCACCTTTCTGGACAGCCACTGTGAGGTGAACACCGAGTGGCTGCAGCCCATGCTGCAGCGGGTGAAGGAGGTAAGTGGGAACTTGTCCTGGAGAGAGGGGCTCAGGGACTCAGCCTTCATGTTACTGGCCTGAGGGCTGATGGACCATCTGGGAAGCTGCTGGCATTGTGGGAAGACTGCATGCTTCCCCTCAGTGGCTCCACCTGACTGAGCTTTCCCATCTGAAAATGGGAATAGTCATAATGTCTGTCCTGGTGGGTGGCTATGAGACATATCAGATGCCATCTTCCACGGCGGGTGGATATTTTTTTCCTCCCATGCTGGGGGAACCTATAGACAGGCTGGGAAGCCCCAGAGGAAGGCAGAAGAGAATGAGTTTCAGAAAGGGAAGGGGATGGGAGGAGGGGAAGGAAGAAGAAAGGAGAGGAGAGGCGAAGAGAAAAGAGGAGGGGGAGGGGGTTCCTACCATATGTCTGCTATTTCCTAGAACTGGGAGTTTGGGCAGATGGCAGAAAAGGATGAGGCCATTACAACTCAACCAGATGAAAACAAATAGCCCAGTTAGAAAAATGGGCAAAGGATTTGGATAGACATTTCTTCAAGGAAGATACACAAATGGCCAATAAGCCCCATGAAAAGATGTTCAATAGATTGATCATTCAGGAAGTACAACTCCTAAGTCACAATGAGATAACACTTCATCTCTGCTGGGATGGCTAGAGTCTAAAAGATGGACAGTCATAGGTGCTAGCAGGATGTGGATAAATAGAGGCCCTCATATATGGCTAGTAGAAACGGAAACTAGTACAGCCGCTTTGGGAAACAGTCTGGCAGGTTCTTAAAAGTTTAAATAGAATTACCATGACTCAGACCCAGCAGAAAGGCAACAAAAACTACATGCACACATGTTCAGAGCAATACCCTTCAGAACAACCAAAAGACAAAACTGTCTATCAGTCCATAAAATGTGTACATTCACACAACTGAATATTACCCCGCCACACAAATGAAGTCCTGATTGCTGTTGTAATAGGAATGAACTTTGGAAAATTCCTGTGAGGAGGAAAGCCAGTCCCCAGAGGTTCTGTGCTACATGATTATTTGTAGAAGATGTGCACAATAAGCATGCCATAGAAATAGAAGTGGAGCCAGGCACCAGTGGCTCATGCCTGCAATCTTAACTACTCTGAGAACTGTGAAGTTTGAAGCCAGTCCAGACAGACAAATCCATGAGACTCTTATCTCCAATTAATCAGCAAAATGCCAGAAGTAGAGGTATGGCCCAAATGATAGAGTGCTAGCATTGAGTGAAAAAGCCAAATGCGCATGAGCATGCACGCACGCACACACACACCATACACACACAAAGAAACAGGAAATAGACATGACATTCCTATTGGGGTGATGAAAATACGATAGCACTAAAAGTTGGTGATACTTGGGTGCATACCAAAGACCAAGGAACTGTGCTTTCTGAGTGAATTTGATGGCATGTGAATTCTATTTCAGTAGGAAAAATCAGTGTGTGAACCAATGAGGCAAGGCCCCCAGGTAACTCTGAAAAACCTTGGCAGCCTGCTTGTATCAGCTATCACCCCACCCCAAGCTTCCATTACTCTAGCTGGTGTGGGAGGTAGACAGATTCTAAGCTACAAATAAGAAGGTGGTGGTATTTGGAACAGGGTCTTACTACGTGGCCCACACTGGCCTTAAACTCATCATCCTCCCTCAGCCTGACTCTCCTGAATTCTGCTGGAATCACAGACACGTGCCACACTTGCCTCTGACAAGAGGCAGAGCAGGGAAGGAAAAGAGAAAGGCTCTGCTGTGCGGTTCCCCATAGAGGGCAAGACCAAAGAGTCTTGCCCAAAGGACCAAAGGATAAGAGAGTCATTAGGTTTTGTGTGTGGAACCCCACATTAACCTACCTGTCCTCAAACACCCGTGATTCCGCATTGCTCAGCAATGTTTTGGAGTTGGCTGTGTTCTGGGAGATGAGGAAGGAAGTGGCAGGTGGGGTGCCACCCTGCTAGGCTCACTCAGCAGAGTCCCTGCCCCTAAGCCACTGGTGGTCCAACTGGGAAGACTCAACCCAAAATGGCACAAAGGCAAATGATGGTGAGCCCTTCAACACAGCAACAGAGGAGCCACCTTGGCCAACACCTTAGTCACTTCCCAGAATGATCTTCAATGCTGTTACGAGAGCAGCTCACAACAAGAAAACCTTCAGCTAGCCCCTGTCAGGGAGGTCTTCATGGAGTGGGTGAGATCCCAGCGGGGCTCAAAATGGCACCAGAAGAAGAAGCAGGGAGAGTAGTACTGTGCCCAGGGGAGTAGTACTGTGCCCCAGAAGCCAGGCAGGACTTACCAGGAGCCTAAGTGGAGTCAAACAACCATAGCTCCTGGAAGCTGGCCAGGCTAGGGTTTGGGGGTGGCCTTGGGGACATGCTCTAGAAGCACCTCTTACCTCTGTCCTGAAGAGGCCCTCTCTCCATAGTAGGCATGCAGCCTGCTGCTGTTGTGGAAGTCTGTGGCCTCATACCATCTTGTATCCCCTCTCCTAGGACCACACCCGAGTGGTGAGCCCCATCATCGATGTCATCAGTCTGGACAATTTTGCCTACCTGGCAGCATCTGCTGACCTTCGTGGAGGTGCGTCCTGCTCCTGGGAGAGGGCGTGCAAAGAGGCAGGTGCAGGCAGGCAGAAGTCTCTGCCTGAGTGGTATTCTTCTTGGCTATGGCAGAGTCTCACACTGCCCACAACCTTTTCCTTCCAAAGACAAAATGAAGAGGGATTGGAGAACAAAGGGCAGAGCTGGCAACTGCAGACTCCTGAGCACAGACAACTGCTTATCTTTAACTCTGATGCATCTCTCCCAAATGCTACTGTCAGGAACCCTGGCCATGGGTCCTGGCCGAAGGTCAGGATGTGACAGCTGTCCCTAAGGAAGGAGAGGGGAGCCCTCCACTTTCTGAATCCCTGGCATGTCCACCCCAGAGGTGGCCAAGACCTGGCTTGGGATGCAGTGAGCTCTTGCAGTGTGGATCATTGTAAAGTCACTGAAGTGTGCTATAAGTGTGTGTGCTTATATGCTTAGAAAAACTGCCGTCATCTGGGTTTCTAAGTCTCAGTGTAAAAGGATGTGAAGTGTCTCCTTAGCATTCATTCATATTGATTGTATTTTGAAATGCTATTACTCTAGATATAGTGTATAAAGATTTTTTTTTTTTTGGTGCCAGTTCTGGGGCTTGAACTCAGGGCCTAGCCACTGTTCCTGAGCTCCTTTGCTTAAAGCCAATTCTCTACCTCTTTAGACACAGCCCTACTTTCTGGCCTTTTGGTGATTAATTTGGGGATAAGAGTCTCACAGACTTTCCTACCTGGGCTGGATTTGAACTGTGATCCTCAGATCTCAGCCTCTTGACTAGCGAGAGAAAGAGAGAGAGAGAGAGAAAGAGAGAGAGAGAGAGAGAGAGAGAAGAATATTTTACTCAAATTAACTTCATATATTTTTGTTCTTTTGTTTATTTGGTAGGACCTCAGTCTTGCTAGGCAAGCAGTTTACCTCTTGAACTGTGTCCTAGCCCTTTTATTTGTATTTGTTTCTGAGATAGGGTTTCATTAACTGCTCAAACTGGCCTCAAACCCAAGACTGGAGTATCTTATTGACATGAATCACCATGCCTGATGTTGTGTTTTTGTTTTCTTTTTGGTGCTGGTACTAAAGGCCTTGCACTCTTGCTAGGCCTTTTTCTCTCATGGCTGGTGCTCCACCACTTGAGACACAATTCCACTTCCAGCTTTTTGCTGATTAATTGCAGATATGAGTCTCATGTATTTGTTTGCCTGGGCTGGCTTCATATCACAGTCTTCAGATCTCAGCCACCTGAGTAGGTATGATTACAGGTGTGTACCACCATACCCAGCTCTGTTCATGTGTGTGTATGTGTGTGTATGTGTGTGTGTGTGTGAGAGAGAGAGAGAGAGAGAGAAATAGAGCTTTTGTGCTCAAGCTTAGCACTCTACCGCTTGAGCCACAGCTCTACTTTCAGCGTTTTGGTAGTTCATTGGAGATGAGTCTCATGGACTTTCCTGCCCAGCCTGGCTTCAAACTGTGATCCTCAGATCTCAGCCTCTTGAGTAATTGCAGTAAGGATTGCAGGCCTGTGCCACCAACACCCAGCTGTGCTTATGTTTTGATGTGGCTTCTAGAAAAATTAAAAAAATATATATATGGCTTAGGTTTGTGGCTTCCCTTATTTTTTTTTTGAGCATCAACCACAGTAGACAAGAATCACATTGGACTATTTAAGATTATAATTCACTTCCTTAGTTTTACTTGCCACATTCCAAGTGTACTACTTGAGGTTATGGCCACTGCTGTGGACAATACAGACACAAAACATTTCACCATGCTGCCAGTGCTACCAGACACTGCTGCTCTCAGAAGCTGTGGCTGGGAGCAGGTGGGCACAGGGGATTTGCCATCTGGGGCCCACCTATCAGTCAAATCTTGGGATTGGAAGGGATTCTGAGAATCCTATTCTGAGGAATTACTTCATAACCTCTGTACTTTCTGTTGTCCTGCCTGGAATTCCTTTTCCCCAGATATCTGCATGTATCTATCTGCCCTTTATTCAGGTCTCTGCTCAAATCACTTTGTCAGAAAGCTTTGTCCCAAACCCTCCATTAGGGGCCTCAGATCAAGGGAGCCGCTGAGGTGTCCAAGTGAGGAGCTCAGCTGCCCTGGTAGGCCCTGTCCTGAGCTGCGCCATCCTCTCTGTCCTTTAGGATTTGACTGGAGCCTGCATTTCAAGTGGGAGCAGATACCCCTGGAGCAGAAGATGACCCGGACCGACCCCACCAAGCCCATCAGGTCAGGATTGCACGGGGGTTCCAGGAGCCCCTCCTTCCTTGGCCAGGAGTCTGGGAGGGTGGATCAATCACCAGGACCCTGAAGGTACACAGTCTGGGTACTGACTCTGTTCTAGGCCCTCAGATTTGCCTACAGACAGAGGACAGAAGCCATGGAAGTTGGGAAGGGTCTAAGAGCTGGCCAGGCATCCTAAGGACCCAGGGTCTAGAGGCAGAAACCTGCGGCAAATGGCCTTGGGTCCTAGGACCTTTGTAAGGGGCTTCTGGATCCTTCAGCTCACAGGTATCTCTTCCCTTTCCCTGCCTGTAGGACGCCTGTCATAGCCGGTGGAATCTTCGTGATTGACAAGTCCTGGTTTAACCACTTGGGAAAATATGATGCCCAGATGGACATCTGGGGGGGAGAGAATTTTGGTGAGTTGGGAAATAATGACAGTGAGCACTGCAGCTGCATTTGACAGCCCTGACTGAGCTAGGACTTGACACAAATTAAGTCCTTTAATCCTCACAAGGACTCTCTGAAGTAAGAGCTATGGTCTCCATTATAAAACAGAACCAGAGAGGTAAAGCAATAACCACACAGCAAAACAACAAAATATTTAAGTGTTCAAGGGAACACCTACGTGACTAGATGTGTGGAGGAATGTATACACTGAACGTAGACCATAGCTTAACGAAGTGGCTGCTTCCCTGTGTGACAGGGTCCAGTCTGGGTGTAAGATCTGACCCAGTGGGTTCACGTTGTTTGGTCCTCAGTGAGTAGAGCCTTCCGGGGTCCTAGTTTCCTGCAGAGATTGCTCTGGGTAATGCGTGAGAGGACAAGTTAAAATTCAGACACAGTGCTGGATGCAGGTGGCTTACACCTAGAATCATTGCTACTCAGGAGGCTGAGATCTGGGGATTGAGATTGGAACCCAGCCCAAGCAAACACATCCAAGAGACTCTTATCTCCAACTAATCAACAAAAAGCCAGAAGTGGAGTTGTGGCTTAGAAGTGGGAGAGTACCAGCCTTGAGCAGAAAAAGATAAGAGTGCACAGCCCAGCTGGGTGCCAGTGGCTCATGCCTGTAATCCTAGCTACTCAGGAGACTGAGAGCTGAGGATTGTGGTTCAAAGCCAGCCCAGGCAGGAAAGTCCGTGAGACTCTTAGCTCTAATTAACCACTGGAAAACTGGAAGTGATGTTGTGGCTCAAAGTGATGGAGCACTAACCTTGAATGAAAAGCTCAGAGACAGTGCCCAAGCCCTGAGTTTAAGTCCCGTGACTGACAAAAAAAAAAGTGCAAGGCCCTGAGTTCAAGAGCCTCAGTACTGGCGCCCACACACGCACGCACACACACACACACACAAATTCAGTGCCAATGACCACCATCACTATGTAGGGGGCTGTTGGAATATTCTAGACCCAGGAGGATAGGAGCTGCCTGACTTCCCTGAAGCAGCAGGAAGGAAAGCTCAGGGCTAAGCATTGATAGAGCAAACTTGCTTCATGACCCAGCCCTGTGTGAAGGCCACAGAGCACTGCAGACTGGTCACCACACTGCAGGTCCAACATGTGTGGGAAGTCAGCAAACAGTTTTTGGTGGTGGTGGTTTTGTTTTTTGCACAGTAGAAATCAAGATGTGGTGAAATGGAGGAGAGACTATTAGGTATTGGGCTGGGTCCTGGCCGGGTACAGATGTCGCCCCTGCCTGGGTATTTATGAAGGACCTGCTTACAGTGTGGGCAAGACACAAGGCTAGGGTCAGTACAGATCTGGGTGGAACCAGTCGGAAAGGCAGGGCACTGCAGCTCAACACGTGCAGTGTTCTTGGGCTATGGCCAGAGCACGTCAGCAATTGAAACCCATTTTCCCCACCTCTGCCAAACCTATCAGAGGACAGAAAGAGGCCCACAGGGATAGCTCCCCCTCTAGTGGCCAGAGAGGGCAAAGGGTTGTCCCAAGAGGTCCCCACGAGCAACAGAGGGCACCCTGCAGTCTAAAACTCAAAGTCCTGCTCTTGCTCCTTCAGCCCTTTCCAACATCCTCTCCCATCCTGACCAGATTTCTCAGCAGTGGGTAGGGTCAATGCTGTCTCACCCATATGACAGGTGGGAAGACTAAGTCCGGAGATGCTGCATCCCATGGGCTAGTGCAGGGGGTATAGCAGAGTCCCTTCAGTGTCCTGTGGGGTTATCAAGTCAAAGTCAGTGTCTGCAAGATGTTAGAAGTAGGGCTTCATCCTCTCTCCCTACTGGGACACCAGATACGCGGAAGGTTGGAGAACAGATCCGCACCCCATGCCAGCCAACTGGGGTGCAAGAGACATGGGACCTTCCCCGCTTCTGGAACTCAATCTTGGAAAATGTTGCCAGGCAAACATTTGGATGTGTGAATTCTGGGAGCTGGGGTGCACCCTGACTCCATTTCATGTGTGTTGGGCCTACGTGACCTTCCTTTGTGTCCTGGGTCTCAGCGCAAAGCAGTGTTGGCAAGTCAGTTTCCTGTCGACTTGGGAAGCAGAGAAGGAGCCAGAGGCTTTTTTCTGTCCTTCTTGTTCTTCTACTTTTTATTTATTTATTTATATTTTTTTTGGCTGGGCACTGACAGAGAAATGAGCGGATGATCAAATAGCTCACTTCAAACTGCCTGAGGCCAGGGCTCAGGGCCGGGAAGCTTGAAAGGGGTGGCGTAGAGTCACTTTGGTGAGGGGTTTTGTTTCTTAGAAGAATTCAGAATGTCTCAGCTTGCTGCAGCTTCACGCACTCACCACTGGGCCCGTTTGGAGCCGCAAGACTCCTGTCGCCGAGTCTTTCATTTTATTCCTTTGTGGAAGGAACAAAGATGTTCAAGCTGAGATGTGCTGTTGTGTCCTTGGAGACAACTCAGGCTCTCACGAGCTGGTGGACGTGGAAACCTTGAGAGTCACCTCAGCAATTCTTTTAAAATGTACGCAGTTAGGCTGGCCCCCGTTGGCTCATACCTAGAATCCTAGCTACTCAGGAGGCTGAGATCTGAGGATCACTGTTCAAAGCCAGCCTTAGCAGGCTAGTCTGTGAGACTCTGACCGCCAGTTAAACCAGCAAAATAATCTGGAAGTAGAGCTGTGACTCAAGTGATGGAGTACTATTCTTCAGCAAAAAATGCTGAGGTATTACTCTTAGAGGAGGAACACAAAAATGCAATGCGTCTGTGCCTCTGATCTTATAAAATAATACTTATCAGGAAAAAAAAACTGAAGGACAGCGGCCAAGTGGAGTTCAAGCCCCAGGACTGGCACCAGTAATAATAATAATAATAAAAGCTTATATGACTCAGCCATGACCCTCAGAAGGAACATGGCTCAAGAGGGCCAGAGATGGCCTCTCATGGAGAGGTAAGCCTGGGGCCACCCAGAGAGATGCCAGTCAGAGCTGGCTGCAGCACTGTGTTCTTCAAGTATGGCCAGGGCCTTGTGGGCACAGGCTGGAGATGCTGCTGCACCTTGGTACAGTCTTCCTTCTCCCCATGGTCTTGGGGTTCTTTCATTAAGGAACAGGGAATTGTGTGTGTGTGTGTGTGTGTGTGTGTGTGTGTGTGAGTGAGTGAGAGAGAAAGAGAGAGAGAGAGAGAGGCTGTGTAAATTCACCCCTCATAACTTGTGGAGTGAGCATGTGAATGGAGTGGGAGCTGCCTGTTCTATCAGGCCCAAGACCTCTAACCCCAGGGAGCCAGCCCCTCACCAGCCCCTCACCATGGCCACCCTGCTGACGCTGCTGTTTCCTGCAGAGCTGTCCTTTAGGGTGTGGATGTGTGGCGGGAGCTTGGAGATCGTGCCCTGCAGCCGAGTGGGCCATGTCTTCAGGAAGCGGCATCCCTACAACTTCCCAGAGGGCAATGCCCTCACCTACATCAGGTAGGTTTTAGTGTAGAGGATGAACCACCTCCCCCCCCTTCGCCCCCCCCCCACACACACAGACATTGCCTCCTGGGCCAATTCATTACCACAGGACTTGGGGCTTTCAGCCTACTTCTTGGGCCTTGGTTGCCCTATTTGCCCCTTCTAGAATGGACATTCTGGGATTGCAGGTGCTTCCAGAGGTAAAAGGATGAAGCTGGGACTTTGCCACCACATTTATTTTGACTCCCTTTGTCTGTGAGAGTCTTGGCAAACTGACCAAATGACCAGCAAAGTGCTGCTCCCCTCTACTCGCTGAACCCCAAGCACTGTCAAGGTACCAGTGTATTTGTCTAGACTTACGCAAGTGTCTGTCCATCCGAGACCCAGCCACAGGGAGTGCCTAGTCTCACAGCACAGCCACCCCATGCCCTGCTGTCTTGATGAGGTGGTGGAGGTTGGTGAGGGATGGTCCTGAGCATCTCTCCTAAGGATGAGGCTCTCCTCATCCATCCATGGAGCAAGAGCAAGAGCTTCCCATATCTAGTTTCCAAATGGCCAAGAGTTTTATCTGGCTTCCTCTATCTTTTTTTGTAATTGTTTTTATAATTATAAAAGTTGCCAGGTACCAGATTAAGATTACCCTTGTAATCTTAGTTACTAAAGTGGCTGAGATCTGAAGACTGAGGTTAGGAAAGCCCATGAGATTCTTAGCTCCAGTTAACCACCAAAAATTTGAAAGTGAAGCTATGGCTCAATTGGTAGAGTACTATCCTTGAGCGAAAAAGCTCAGAGAAAGCACCCAGGCTCTGAGTTCAAACCTCAGGACCAGAAAAAAGAAGTCACACAAGTTTACCACAAAAACTCAAATAAGGTGCACGTGCGCATGCATGCACACACACACGCATACACACACGCATACATCTACATATATATGTAGATAAATATTCATATTTATCTTTATATTATTATAGAAAGAAAAGTGGAAGTCCTATTACCCATTCTTGGTCCACACATTCTGTGTGTCTCACTTGCTTGTCTCTTCAGCACTACTGTTGTTTAACAATAGCTGTTAAATAACATAGCTACTATTTTTTGCCCTTAAAAGAATAGCTTATCCTTCTAGACCTTTACATAGAGTGCCTACTGTTAGTAGGTGGCTGGTTTGTCACTTCCAGCTTTGTACACATTTCTGCATCTGCCGTGTGGTCTGTGTATAGGGACACACCAGTGCAGCATGGGTGTGGGCTTCTGTGTGAATGGGGCCTGCCTGTGACTTCAGTGGCACCTGTCCCCTAACACTGTATCATAGACATCTGTGCCTGCCAACTTATACTAGCCATGGCCTTCTCTTTCTCTTCTCTCCCTCTTCTTCATTTTGTAGAAATGATTCATTATGCTGTCAAAGAACATTTAGGTTACCATTTTGGTAAATCAATATTCTTGTGTTTGTCCTTTTTGCCTACATGTGGGCATTTCAGTGTATAGACTCAAATAGAGAGTCTCATAGATACTTCCCAACTTGATAGATTTGATAGCTAACCCTCACTTGTACTGTGCAGAACTCAAATTTTCTTAAACATAATCAAAAAACATATATGCACACACGTGTGCGTGCACGTGCACACTTTTATTTTTGTCAGTCATGGGGCTTGAACTCAGGACCTGGGCACTGTCCCTGAGCTCTTTAGCTAAAGGCTAGTACTCTTTGAGCCACGGCTCCACTTCCAGTTTTCTGGTGGTTAATTGGAGGTAAGAGTCTCACAAGCTTTCCTGCCCAACCTGGCTTTGAAACACAATCCTCAGATCTCAGCCTCCTGAGTAGCTAGGATTAAAGGCATGAGCCTCCAGTACCTGGAAAAACATACATGTTAAATCAAAACATATATTTTTAATCCATTACGTACGAGCTCATCTTAATCGTAGCCCTGGCCCTGCCTGGTGACCTTATTTGCTCTCTCCTCTCCCTGTAGGAATACGAAGCGGACTGCAGAGGTGTGGATGGACGAATACAAGCAGTACTACTACGAGGCTCGGCCCTCAGCCATCGGGAAGGCCTTTGGCAGGTGGGCCTCAACTTCTTGTTTACACCTCTGCCATGTTAGCACACCCCAGCAAAATACCAAGTAGTGTGCACATCAGGGGAGCCACTCACATTCTTCCTAGAAACTGAGTGTTGCCCCCTCCCTTCCCTCACCCTGGGCTCCTCTAGGACATGGGATGCAGGGATAAGCCAGAGCTGGCGATGACAGCACTGCTCTTCCAAAGCTTGCAGGATAAGGGGCATCTGCGGGACTACTTAGGGAAGGGCTGTGCACAGAAGACATTTGGGGTGTGGCCTCCACCTCCGTTCAAAATTGGAATCCGTCATGAACTGTTCTCAGCACAGTCTAGTTAAGCATTTTCAAAATGCAGATGGGTTGTGAAATCAATTTAGTGAGTCGTGACCAACATTAACAAAGAGGAAGAGAAAAACACTGTCGATTAGATTAGCACAGAACAGAATAGAAAATCAGTGTTGATTGCAGTTAAGGGTAAGTATTGTTTTATGAAAATCTCAGCTGTATGTGTGCTTGTACACATGAGCTTGTACACATACACGGGATGCCCCATCACAACGTAAGGTATATTTACCTCCTACTCAAGATTGTGGTCAGAGAAGTTTGAAAACCTGGGGAATGAATCATCTTCCTTATATTCACTTAGATCTGTTTGTCATTATGTATTTCTTTTAATGGAGAGCTGATGTTAACTGAGCACCTATCTTGAACTAAACACTTCATATCCCCTGAAATTTATTTGATTGTCACCCACTTTAAAGTGAGTAGTCATTTGTATGCCTAGGTTATTATCATAGAAGAAACTAAAGCTCAGATATGCAAGAAGTGTCCTCAGCCAGTGGCTATGGGGAAGAAGGTGAGAAGATTGACCTCATGTCCCAGATGGCTCTCCCTTGCTGGGACTCCTGACAGATTGTGTGTGTGTGTGTGTGTGTGTGTGTGTGTGTGTGTGTGTACACTGGTACTAGAGCTTGAACTTGGGACCTGGATGCTGTCTCTTAACTTTTTCCGCTCAAAGCTGCATTCTATCACTTGAGCACACCTCCACTTTCAGCTTTTTGCTGATTATTTGGAGATAAGAGGTTCATGGACTTTTCTGCCCAGGCTAGTTTTGAACCAGTCCTGAGTAACAAAGATTATAGATGTGAGCTACTAGCTCCTGGCTCTAAAGATGTTTAAAGTTTACTCTTGTCCTTATACCCTTCCTCCTAAACTGCAAGGCATCAGCCAAGTGGCAGTGGCTCATGCCTGTAATCCTAGTTACTCAGGATGCTGAGATTAGAGGCTCACTGTTCAAAGCCAGCCGAAGCAGAAAAGTCCCCGTGAGACTCTTATCTCTAATTAACTGGAAAAAAAAACTGGAAGTGGAGCTGTGGCTCAAAGTAGTAGAGCACTAGCCTCGAGCAAAAGAGCTCAGAGACAGCACCCAGGCTTTGAATTCAAGCCCCATGACCAACAACAATAAAAGAAATGCAAGGCATGTAAGGAAAATTTCCACTCTCTGCAAAAATAAAGACCAAGCTATGGTTTGTGGCCTACGGTTTGTGTGGGGCCTGTGGTCTGGGCTCATCAGGGCAGGATTTGAGGGAGATCCTGGAGACTGGGGTGAGCACTCAGGTTAGAGAATGAATGAAAGGTGGTAGCTGAGGCTGGACAGGATAGCTCCCATGGCAGTGGTCCTTACCCACCTGAGGGGGGCCCACAATGGGGCCTCTGTGTTCTCCTGGGGCTTCTTACCCAAGTTCTATCCCTCCTCCAGTGTGGCCTCACGGATTGAGCAGAGGAAGAAGATGGACTGCAAGTCGTTCCGTTGGTACCTAGAAAACGTCTATCCCGAGCTCACGTGAGTGTAGTCTGGTCACTGACTCTGGCCTGGTTGGGTGCCTTTATCTCCCTTGTGTGGTTTCTTCTAGCTACTGGCAGTTTATTTTTCTGGGAGAATGGATAAGTTATTAGTTAGATGTGATATAGTACTAAATTCTCCCTCCATCCCTCCCTCTCTCTCTCTCTCTCTCTCTCTCTCTCTCTCTCTCTGAGTGTGGGGGGGGGTTGGTTCTGGGACTTGAACTCAGAGCCTCCTACTGTAACATAGCTATTTTTCTCAAGGCTAGCTCTCTACCACTTGAGCAATAGGTCCATGTCTGGCTTTTTTTTTTTTCAGTTGTGGGACTTGAACTCCAGGCCTAGGCACTGTCCCTAAATTCTTTTTGCTTAAGGCAAGTGTTCTACCACTTTGAGCCACAGTGCCACTTCTAGTTTTCTAGTGATTAACTGGAGATAAGAATCTCTCAGATTTTTCTGCCCTGCCTGGCTTTGAACCAGATCCTCAGATCTCAGCCTCCTGAGTAGCAAAGATTATAGGCATGAGCTACCAGCGGCCAGCTTGTACTGATTTTTTTGTGTAGTGTATGTACCAATCCTAGGGCTTGAACTCAGGGCCTGGCACTATCCATGAACTTTATCACTTAAGGCTAGGCTCTACCACTTGAGCCACAGCTCCTCTTCCAGTGTTTTTCTTTTTCTCCTTCCTTCCTACCTTCCTTCTTCATTCCTTCCTTCCCTTCTTTCCTCCCTCCCTCTCTCCCTCCCTCCCTCCCTCCCCCTCTCTCTCTCTTTCTTTCTTTCTTTCTTTCTTTCTTTCTTTCTTTCTCTCTCTCTCTCTCTCTCTTTCTTCTTTGGGAGTGGTTAATTGAAGGTCTCTCAAGGACTTTCCTGTCCAAGCTAACTTCAAACCACCATCCTCAGATCTCAGCCTCCTGAGTAGCTAGGATTACTGGCATGAGCCATCAGCATCTGACTTGTATTGATTTTTTTTCCTGTCCGTTTAGAAGCTTGAACTCAGGCCCTGGGCCCTGTTGCTGAGCTTTTTGCTCAAGGCTATCACTCTACCACTTTGAACTACAGTGCCTCTTCTGGTTTTCTGGTAGTTAATTCAAGATAAGAGTCTCACAAACTTTCCTGCCTGGGCTGTGAACCATAATCCTCAGATCTCAGCCTCCTGAATAGCTAGGATTAAAGGCGTAAGCCACCAGCACCTGGTTAGTACTACATTTTTAACAGACTGACTCTTGGACCTAGAAATAGATACCTTTCTCTTAAGAAGACAGTGCTGCATGATGCAGAAAGGCTGAGAAACCCTCACTCCTTGACTCTGCTCTCTGAGAGAGTGAGCAGCAGAGTGCTGTGCAGTGGCTGTGGGAAAGTGAGCAATGACTAAGGCATCCATTCAAACAAATACTACACATCCATCAGGTTACAGTCATGACTGCAGCAACACCCTGAGGAAGAATAATGCAAGCATCCGAGTGGCTGGGATGGGCCGCCTAAGGTCATTTTTTCCTGTTTCCAAGTCTTTTCAGTGGTCCATTTCTTCTCCCTGAGATCTTGACTGTGTCCCTTCTCAGAGACACTTTTCCTCATTTGGACACTGTAGTCCCTCCCTAGGACTGAGTTTCGTCCATAGTCCATGTCAGCATCTCATATATATCTTGCCAGTTAATGCGTTGTCATTACTGACACTCCCCAGGAACTCTGTGAGGACAGAGCCTTTGACCTATCTTGCCCATGGCTTCAGTTTTATGGCACCAGTGCCATAAAATTGGCATTCAGTAAACATTTTTTAAAAGGGGTGTGTGTGTGTGTGTGTGTGTGTGTGTGTGTGTGTGTGTGTGTGTGTGTGTGTGTGATATTAGGAGTTTGAATTTAGGATCTTGTGCCTGAGCCATACCATCAGTCCTGTTTTGCTTTTAGTCTTTCCACTAGGTTCTCATACTATCTTTGCTCAGGCTAACCTTAGAGCACAATTCCCCTATCTCTGCCTCCTGAGTATCTGGGACTAAGCATGCACCCAGGTTTTGGTTTTTGTTGGTCATGGGGCTTGAACTCAGGGCCTGGGTACTGTTTCTCAGTCGTTTTGCTCAGGGCTAGCACTCTATCACTTTGAGCCACAGTTCCACTTCTGGTTTCCTGGTGGTTAATTGGAGATAAGAGTCTCAGGGTCTTTCCTGCCCAGGCTGTCTTCAGTCTCAGCCTCCTTAGTAGCTAGGATTATAGGTGTGAGCCACCAGCACCTGGCTCCCGGGTTTAATAAACATTTTTGAGTGCATAAATCATCAGCATGGCTTGATAGTATGAAGTTAGCATTCTCCATCCATAGCTGTCACATTGGGAAGCACTTTACGCCACCATTGCTAGCTTTCTCCCAAGGACCCCAGCATGGCTTTCCAGAACATTCCACCCCTCAGAGCATGCATGACTTCCAAGGAAGCAAGTCTTTGCCTTGTGGTTTGTGGGAAGCAGCTACCGCAAGGTAATAATCAAGCTCTGGACATAAGCTTGATGATTAATCTCTATAACGTAACCCAAAGTCCCCAATACAGTGTGCCTGGAAAGTAATGAGACCCAAACTGATTCTGTGAACCATTTCCGAGCAAGTCCAGAAAAACTCGAACAACAGCAGCATCCTTGCAGGAAAGCTGGCAGCCTGGACAGTCCCAGTGCCCTGGACAATAGCTGTTCAGGGAACATTAATTTATAAAAAGGTAATAAGTAAACAATTTCCCGAAGTAACGATAAGGGGACTCTGAGAGGGTGAGGACAAGAGAACAACCATTTCTTTACATTCTGTCAGGATTCATCCAACCCCAGGAAGATGCCATTCAACGCCGGCCTAGGGGTAGGAGCTAAGAAGACTGTTGCAGGTGCTAGGGAAACTGGGCCTGGGCACTGTCCCTCAGCTCTTTGAGCCACTTTGAGCCACAGCACCACTTCCAGCTTTTTCTGCTTATGTGGTGCTGAGGAATCGAACCCAGGGCCTCATGCTTGCAAGGCAAGCGCTCTACCACTAAGCCACTTTCCCAGCCCCACCAGATATTCTTTCACAGTCCTTTGACTACAAATATCAGTTACTTTCTCAGCTCTTCATTTCTTTAGTCGTTAGTGAAACTAGTCACCTTTTTGTATTTGTGTATTTTCAGTTTGTTCCTCTCCAGAGCAACCCCTTCCTTGTCATTTTGAGGATGGGTGTTGAGTCCACCTTTGGCCACAGCCTCTCCTAGGCTGTAGACCCTTGTGTTTCCAGCCTCAGTCTCCCCCAAGGCTCCTCTGTGACTTGGGCCTAGCCTCCCGGGTAGTTTTTACACTTCAGAAGAACTTGCTGTGGACTGAGGTCATTCTCCTCTTGTCTTTCCCTCCTCCCCCTCCCTGCCAGCGAGCTGTACAGGTCTCAGAGATTTTGGTGACTAGATGCTGTCACTAGATGCAGAAGGGGTAGATAATCAGAAGGGCAGGGACCAGCCTGACCGCTACCTTTTCTCTCAGCGTCCCAGTGAAGGAGGTTCTTCCTGGCATCATTAAGCAGGGGGTAAACTGCTTGGAATCCCAGGGCCAGGACACCACAGGCGACTTCTTGCTGGGAATGGGGATCTGCAGAGGATCTGCCAAGAGTCCCCCGCCTGCCCAGGTAAGTTGCTTGGGGCCTCTGGGAGGCTCCATAGAGGCAGAGTTGCCTGGGCAATGGTCAGAGACCATTCTCATCCTCTATCCACACCCTCCACAAAGCCTCCTCCCTAGGGGCCCACAGTCTCCAGCTATGTGCCCATCCCCCTCTCGGCCCTCTGTGCCACCCATTTCTTCCTTCCCCTTCTAGCAGTTGCCATGGGGCCTGGACAGCTCCCAGTTCTCTGCTGGGGTGCAGCTGTGGTTGTGCAGACAGATCAGAGACCTCTAGGACTCTGTGCATATGAGTATCACACGTTGACACTGGAGCAGACCCTGTCCTGTATCCTGACATTTTCCCCTATCCTCAGAATACCTTGGTACCTCCTTGGCAGCCCTCTGACAGGCTCCCACTGAGCTTCTCCATCGTAATAGCTGATTCTGGAAACTTGGAAACATACAGAAGAATGGAAAGAACTCTGCAGTAAATACCATCTACCTGCCCACAACTTCTACAATTGTTTGTAGAAGATTCTATAGAAATACACTATTTGCTTTGCCACCAGTCTACCCATCTGTCCTTATTTTTTGTCTCACAGGCATGGCTGTTCAGCGACCACCTCATCCAGCAGCAGGGGAAGTGCCTGGCCGCCACCTCCACTTTAATGTCCTCCCCGGGGTCCCTGGTCACACTGCAGGTGTGCAACCCCAGAGAAGGCAAGCAGGTAAACCTCCCCTCCCACCCCACAGACAGCAGCCCTGGGAGGAGGGGGATGTGGTGGTGTGCCAGGTGCTAGTGGGGGTGTGCTAGCTTGATGAGCTCTCCAGAGTGAGGGTCTGTGGAGCCTAGAGGAGCATAAGGAAATCAATTCCTCCTGGGGGAGTTATACCTAGATCATTACCCACTCTCCCAGCCCCTGAATGAGGCAGTGCTACAACAAACCCCATCTTACAGGTAAGATTCACAGAGCACAGGCAGTCAGATCACATACATCTGGGAGGGGTAGAGCTGGGGTTTAAACCTGAGTCAGAGTGTCCTAAGCCCATAGTCTTAAACCAACACAGAGCAGATGTCCAATAAATATTGCTCTGTGTGTGTGCGTGCGTGGGTGTGTGTGCGTGCGTGCGTGCGTGCGTGCGCGCATGCGCAGTGGTACTGGAATTTGAATTCAGGGTCTAGTCCCTTAGTTTTTTTCCAAAACACGAGACTAGCACTCTCCCATTGAATGCCTTCAGTTCTGGCTTTCTAGTGGTGAATTGGAGACAAGAGTCTCATGAACTTTCCTGCCCTGGCTGGCTCCAAAACTCCATCCTCCTGAGTAGCTAGGATTACAAAGGTGAGCCACCAGCTCAATAAGTTATTTCTTGAGTGCTGCTTGGCTGGAGAAACTGAGGCACAGAGGCACTGAATTCCAGGCTGGTATAACCAGCCTCCAGCTCATTCGTCTACCAAGCACAGTATACCCAGGAGTCCTGCCCATGGAGGGGGGAACTGGAGCTCAGAGAGATGAAGTCACTTGCTCAGGGCACAAAGCAACTGGTGACTGAAGCTAGGTGTCTGGAGTCAACCAGCCCCCTTCTCTATTGCTCCCCTTGGGGGTTCCCCACTCCCTGGGGAGTAAGACACAAGGCAGAGGCAGAGGCAGAGGCTGCTCCAGGCCTTCACCTGACTGCCATGCCATGCAGCCGGCAGGTCAGTGCAGGGCTGAGGAGGGGCCTGGCTCTCACATTCAGCCTGCAGGGCTTTCCCCCAGCCTACTTCTGTTGCTGGGATCAGCTCCTTCTTTAGGGATGACTGGAAGTTTGCTATTCCATTCTGGAAAAGCAGCCAGGTCCTCTCCCTTCGGCTGTGACCGTGCACATGTGCATGTGTGTGCATGCATGCACCTAATGAGCAAAAGAGCTCTGTGGCCAGACACTTCTGTAATGCTCCATGACAGGATACATATCCTGCTTTCTGCCCCAAGGCTGAGTCCCTCTGCTCTTCAGTAGGGCTGGTGCAGCCTGCCTGTACCTGGCAAAGCCTTGAGCATACACCTGCCCTCTCCATGTTGAGGACAGAACTGGGAGTGTCCACTGGGGCAGCCTCCATTCACATGCTTCCCTAAGGCTGAGACCTCCATTTTCCCCTTTGTGTTGACCTGACTGCAGGGCTGTAGAGCTCTCCCTGGCCCCATTCATTCTGCTCCTGCAGGTCCTGCCAGGTTCCCCGGGCACGCTAGGGACCAGGAGAACAGGATAAACCCCTCTTCTACCACCAAAGCCTTCTGGAAATTCAGGCTTCCTGTGTTGAGTTCCATATTGGCCCTGATTCCAAGGCCTGATTGAGTTTCATGTATAAAGAGGCAGGAGGAGTCAGCAGGGCCAAGCTGAGCACCCTTTTCTCCTCTTGTATAGTGAAAGGCTCCCTCCATTGCCTTTCCTGGAAGGAATCTGCAAACCCTGACACACCGTGATAGGTTTGCGGCCAGTAGGGTCAGGCCCTAAGACTGCTTGGGAGAACTGGTCAGGAGTGAGAATCCTGTTCTTTCATCACACACCAAACTCTCACCTAGATATACAGTGTGCAGGGACTCCTGGGGAGAAGATGGCCGGAGGTTTAGCTACTGTGAGCATCTAAAAGAACAGGAAGCCATAGTTGCAGGGGGAGGTAGGGGGACATAGGGCCCTGTCCACCCACTACTCCTGACTGTTAAGCCAAGGGAGGCTGGTCTCAGTCTGGGTTCCATTTCCTAAGGGGAGCCCAGATTCTGCAGCTCCCTTCTTCCACCCTCCCCACCCCATATCCCCTCAGCAGCCCTGGGCCAGCACCTTTGGCTGGGTACAGCTCAGCTCTTCTAGGTAAGAACACACATCCCACCAATGGGGGAGCTTGCTGGACTCCCTGCTTCTTCTGGAAGGCAAGGTGGACAATAGAACGAGGGACCATGGTTGCATGGAGAGACACCAAAAACAGCCTCTGTTGTTAGTCGGTCTTCCCCTGAGCTTTGAAACCGGGTCTCGGCCTCTCATCCCTTCTTCATGATCCAAACAACACACCACCCTCCATCTAGGCCCTTGTAAAAATGTTCTATATGAAAACATTCCATCTTGTCCACTTGAGGGAGGAGGGTGCTGAGAGGTGAAAGCACTGACCCCGGAGTCCTTTTACCGCCTCTGAGAGAACTCGAGCCCCAACCACGGTGGCTAGGTCCGTTAGAGGGTAGATGTTACCAGCCTCATGGCTTTTGGAAACACAGGACTACAGGAAGAACTCTTGCTTACAGAGGCTAGATATTCACCTTAGCCAGAACTCCTAAACTGAGCTCCTCAGCTCAGCCCACAGGGAGCTGGTAGGGAAATACTCATAGGACAAAAAATTAAGACCAGACAGGGAGTGTGGTGAACTGGAGAGGAAGAGCCCATTTAGAGCAAATAGCAGGCAAATCCCCCGCCCAGCAAATGACATCACGTGAGCAACTGGGACCCGAGTCCAGAAAGGGACCCGAGTTAGAAAGGCAGGTGTGTAGGTGGTCACTAAGGGAAATTTCCAATAGACACCATACCGCTCAAACAAAATACATCTTTGAGTTGGATTCATCCCATGAGCATCTGTGTTGCCTCCTCTAGAACTTGGTGCCAAACTACAGAAACAAACCCTGCTGGGAGGGAACGTGCCTGGAGCTTATGTGTGGCCCTTTATATAAGGGATCCAGGCCGCTCTCCATGAGAAATATGTGTCCTAGATTTATACAGGGCTGGGTACACAGGTGAAATGAGATACAAACTAACTTCCTTCCTCCCTCCATCCCTCCCTCTCTTCCTACCTCCCTTTCTTCCTTCTTTCTTCCCTCCCTCTCTTCCTCCCCGCTCCTTCCTTTCTTCCTTTTGTTGGTGCCAGTAGTGGGGCTTGAACTGAGGCCCTGAGCACTATCCCTTAGCTTTTTCACTTAAACTCTTTACCACTTGAGCTACAGCTCCACTTCCGGCTTTTTTGCCAGTTAAGTGGAGAAATGGACTTTGCTTTCCAGGCTGACTTCAAACTCCCAATCCTCTGATCTCAGACTCTCAAATATTTAGGATTACAAGTGTGAGCCACTGTCACCCAGCTCCAAACTTATTCTTGCGATGCCGGGAATAGAACTTGTGCATACTGTGCCAACATGCTACCACTAAGCCACAGAAGTGTATTTCTTTTTATTTTATTTTTTTTTCTTTAACCGCGTGGTCTTTATTTCAGTGCCGGTGTTCATTTCTTCTTATAAAGGAAAAAAAAAACATTTTCTCCTTCCTTTCCCCTCTCCCTTCCTCTTAGAAATGGAGGAGAAAAGGATCTTTCATCCAGCATTCCGTCAGTGGCCTCTGCCTGGAGACGAAGCCCGCCCAGCTGGTGACCAGCAAGTGTCAGGCTGATGCCCAGGCCCAGCAGTGGCAGCTGCTGCCACATACATGATGGCAGCCCCTTGCCTCCTGGACCTTTTGCATGAGACATGGGGACTGGAAGGGGTTAGGGAGGGGGAGTGTCAAGCAGGCCGTTTCCATCTCCTTACATTTCTGCCAGATCATCAGCAAACACCCCTGCCACGACACATTTCTCCAAAGCTTCTTCTAGGGAGTAGGTGGTGGGGGTGGGGGCATACCCAATGTCCACTGTACCACCCAGGCTCTGCCCTGGGAGAGGAGATGGTCAGGTTGCAGACTGTTGCTGGGCAGACACTGGGCAGGTGCCCCTGGCCCTTTGTCCTCTCCCTTAGTTCTTCTTGGGGCCTGGCAGTGATGTGTGGGCCCTCCCCTTGCTGCCCATGGGAGCAAGGACATAAGTCCACACAGGAGTCACTTGTCCCCATGCCCACGGGGATAGCACAAGAGGAGAAAGTGGCCACATGTGTGAAGCGGCTGAAGGCTGGGGCAGGTGAACAGGAAGATGGCGAGAAAGCTCAGGGTCTGTCTGAGAGATGCCAGGCTTGGGTGTGGGGGGGGGAGAGGTGGGATCCTGAGAGCAAAGGATGAGGATTTTGCAGAACATGGATGGAGGAGCAGCAGCAAAGCACCAAAAGAACAAGATCTCTTTCCAGGACATTGTCGCACCCACCGCACTCTGCCACCCCAGAGCTGGAGCCCATGTGTGCCTCTGGTCCCACCCCAGGGATAGCCACAGTCCTAGCAGAAGGCTTCAGAAAGAGCTGGGACTCTTTTTTTTTTTATCAGACACCATTTCTTCTCCCCCCCCCTCTTTTTTTTTTTTTTTTTGGTCCATCATAGGGCTTGAACTCTGGGCCTGGGTGCTGTCCCTCAGCTCTTCAGCTCAAGGCAAGCACTCCACTACTTGAGCCACAGCTCTACTTCCAGTTTTCTGGTGGCATTGGAGATAATAAGAGTCTTGCAGACTTTCCTACCCAGCCTGTCTTTGAGCCGCAGTCCTCAGATCTCAGCCTCCTGAGTAGTTAGGATTACAGGCGTGAGCCACCAGCACCTGGCATAAACTTCACTTCTATTTGGCCATGTGTCAGGATGAGACCTCTCTCTTGGACCTTAATAGCCAGCTGATACTCTATTTTACCTGCCTGGCTTTGGATCCCCAGTTTCTCAAAGGTTCTTGCCTCTGTAAATAGACTGTCATAGGGCGGAAGGACCTCCTATCTTGAGCATGAACTGTCACTAGAGGCTAAGTCACACAGACCAAGCCTCACCCTGGGTCCCTTCCTCAGGCTTCCCAATGACCAGCTCCGGCAGTGTGCTAGGAGACTGGCTGCTGGCTCCATGTGGCATAGACCAAGTTTCCTCTCCCAGCCACCAAGAACATGGCTGCCACACCTCCCCAGAGCCTTGTCTGGAATCCTTCTGCTATTCCCTCATGGCTCTCCCCCCTGCCACTGGCTTCAGTAGTGTGATCTTGGACAAAAGACTTTTTGTACCAGGTCCTAAGGGGTCTTTCTCCCCAAAGCAAGCAGGGTGGATACTCCTACCTGGTCTATGAAAAACTACAACTTCATAGAGGAAGTTCACAGATTCCAGAAGGTTTAAGGCTCCCAAAATATTGCAGTCCACTTTTCTGCTTCATGGATTCCTGTTTCTTAAAACCATCCCTGATATGTGAAGGGTCTGAACCTTTGCTTTCTATTGGATCGGCGCCACCATTTAGCTGACTGCTGCCCCCCAATTCCCTTCTGTGCCCAAGCCATGATCCCCCTGTTCCCTCCACCTGGCCCATGGGGTTGGAAGCCAAGTGTCTGTGGTCCACAGCACCTGCTCTGGAAGGTTTCCTCAAACCTCTGGCTCTCACCAGCATCCTCTCTGCAATGCTTCTGCACCTGGGTACATGTGCACCCCTGCACTCAGCGCAGGGCCCTTTGCCTTCCTGACCATGTTTCTCGCATCCTCAGTGGTGATGTTATATCCACCACCATCTGCAGACCTCACCTTGGATCCTGTGTCCATCTGAGAAGCCTCCTGCTGCAGCCCAGGACAGAGCTGAAGCCAGGATGAAGGCTTTTCTCTGGAGGCCTGCATTTGCTCCAGTGTGGACCTTCAGGCTGGGAGCCTGGACTTGTCTGGTGGTGATGAATGTAAGGGCTGCTGCTCAGAGAGAGAGTCTCTCCCCCAGAGCCTGTGATCAGACCAGGCTCTGCACCTGTCAACTGTGGGACTCCGTCCATTCCTCCGTATGCTTTTCCTCTTCTTGACCAAAGCATGTGCCACTAGCTGTCCTTGAGGACGCTGTCTTTATGAAACACACCTGGAATAAAACCACTTCTTACATGTCCATGTGTACCAGTGCCTGCTTTTGACTTCAGTACCACTTCCCCTACCTGGAGGACCCAGGCCTCTGGTCTGTAAAAGTGAACTGAGCATGCTCCAGAACCCTCTCCTGCAGCTGGCAGCTGGATGCTTAGGGGGTGGGGAGGAGCCAGCAACAGCCCTGACAGTAGGGCAGTCTGGAACCAGTGCCAGACTGAGCCCAGGCTCCTCCTTATTTCATCACTCACAGGACTCTACTGGCTCTTAGAAATGGAAATCCAGGGGTTGGGAAGGTAGCTCAGTGGTAGAGCGCTTGCCTTGCATGCATGAGGCTCTGGGTTCAATTCCTCAGCACCACATAAGCAAAAAAGAAAAAAGCTGGAAGTGGCGCTGTGGCTCAAGTGGTAGAGCGCTAGCCTTGAGCTGAAGAGCTGAGGGACAGCACCCAGGCCCAGAGTTCAGGCCCCACGACTGGACCCCCCCCCCCAAAAAAAGAAATGGAAATCCAATCCGGGTGCTGGCAGCTCACACCTGTAATCCTAGCTACTCAGGAAGCTGAGGTCTCAGGATCATGGTTCAAAGCCAGCCCAAGCAGGAAAGTCCATGAGACTCTTATCTCCACTAAACTACGGAAAAAAATGCAGAAGTAGAGCTGTGGCTCAAATGGTAGAGTTCTGGCTTTGAACAAAAGAAGCTCAGGAACAGCACCCAGGTCCTGAGTTCAAGCTTCAGGGCACACACACACAGGCTTGACTAGATACGGATCTTCCACCAGGGCGCGCGCACACACACACACACACACACACACACACACACAGAGGCTTGAATAGATACGGATCTTCCACCAGGCTTGCCTTTGGCCAACCCTCTTACCTGTCTCTTGCCCCTCCCCCAAACTGCCCTTCTACTCTACAAATAAGAAGGCAGTGGTAAATTCAGACAGTGCATCCTCCCTGAATAAAACCAGCAAAAATACGTCTAGAAAGACTCGTAACAGCCTAGGCTTGCTTGATCTTGTAGCAGATGCTCTGCCTAACATTTCCATGGAAACCAATAGGAATTTCCTGCCCCCCCATTTCTGTGATCAGAAGCTGAACCTCCCCAGGTAAAAATAAATGCTGCTTTGACACACATGAACTGTAGCAGGCAGGCGAGGGTGTCCCTGTCCCCTCCTGGATGCAGCTATTTCCATCCTGTCCCCATTTGCCTCAGTGTAGAACTCCCCAAAGATCCTGACCCATGGGCCTCAGCGGCTTGTAACAAAACCCAACAGGCTGCAAAGCACACAACTTGGCTATAGCATTAGTGTGTGGTCTGGACTTAGGAAGCAGGTCACTACAGAAGCCCCTGGCCATTGTCATCATTCTTTTGTTCATTCATCCTCTCCTGGAGCCCAGTTCACAACTCAGCACTGAATTGGAACCTTCATAGCCAGGCTGGTAGCCTTTAGCCAGTCCCTGGAGGAACCAGCAAAGACCTTACCTAACAACGTGAGTGTCTCTCCAAGGAGAGAGGCTGGGATGGCAGGAGATACCTGCAAACTAGGGCCTCACACATAGTAGACACCACTTTACCACTGAGTTACAATCCCAGCCTTTGGCTCTGGTTTTATTTGCCCCAGTGAGGAGGAGGGGTGTGACAGCACAGGTAGCTGGGGCTTGAATTCAGGGACTTATACTCTTGCTTTGCTTTTTATCCAAGGCTAGTGCTCTTCTACTTGAGTCCATTTCCAGCTTGTTGCTAGTTAATTGGAGGTAAGAGTCTTAGGGACTTTCCTGACTGGGCTGGTTTCAAACCTTAATCCTTAGCTCTCAGTTTCCTGAGTAGCTAGGAGTACAGGCATGAGCCACCAGTGCTCAGCTGGTCCCTTGGCTCTGGTTCTCACCAAGGCCCAGCTCTTCAACAGCACATGAACACATACTCTCTCATGTGCAGTTGGGAGAATTAAATCAAGGGGTCTTTCAAGAGGTTTAGCATCCCAAGGCCTGCAGGGAATGTGTTTTACTACTCCAATGAGATGTGGGTCTCTCGCACCAAGTGACAAGCAAGGAAATCTGGAAAGACCAGAGGTTGTAATGTCCCCTTTCAGAAATCCAACCCTGTTGTCAGCGTGGCTGGCATTTGTGTGTCCCTGGGCTGGTCTGAGTCAGTGTTTCTAAAGAAGGAGGGAGAGGAGGGCCCAGCTGCTCTCATGGTGAAAAGTCTTCCCTGCTAGGTGTTTATGGAAGACCTGGAGTTGGAACAAGGGAAGACTTCTCTGTCCATTGAGTAGCTGAGCTGGATTGAGGCTCCAGTGTTCTTACTGGATTCAACCCAAGAAGTCTAAGGAAGATTTATTTAAAGACATTATTTTCTTCTCAACTTTAATTTCTTGACCTGTAAAATGAAGGCACTCATAACTCTAAAGGAATTTTTTCTTTGTGAAGATTGGTTTATTTAACAATTGCAAAGCATCTGCCCTTTTTAAATGCTTTGTAAATTTGTGTTGTTGCTACTACTACTAAGTATTTTCTATTCAAGTATGATATTACCTGCCTGTAATCCCAGCACTCAGGAGGCTAAGACAGCAGGATTGCAAGTTTGAAGCCAGCCTAGGCTACAGAGTATGACTTGTCTCAAAAAAAAAATTCTGAAAGTATGATATACACCAGGGTCCTTTTCTCGGGCTGAGAGCCTGGGGCATCAGTCAGTAGCTCTGTCCCTCAGATGCTGCTGCTTCCAAGCAGCTTGAAATGATATCCTGGGAATGCCTGGCTTGGTCTGGGAGGGTCCAGGGACGTCAGCCGGCCACCCCAGCTGGACTGATGGTTCAGTGGATCCCTTACTGAGTGGCCTGGCTTTTCCCTTTGTACATGCTGCATGGTGGGTGACACTGGATAGTCTAACCACAGAAGATTCTAAAAGGAAGTTAGAGAGGTCCAACTTCTTTAGCTAATGACCTTTTCTCTAGGTGGCTTTCTTCCTTCAGGGAAGGGTGGAGAATTCACTAACCCTGACTTGAGAGAATGTTTACAAGCCATCACACATGCCCAGGAGAAACTAGTTTCATCTTTGCTCTCAAGTTCTCTGATCTCAATCCATCTCAAAACCCAGACTGTCAGC